AAAAGGAATCAAAAAGGTTTTATAAGCAGGGAATAGCTAAAGAATACAGTCTAATTATAACCTTGGTGCACACCTAAGTGATACAACAAAAAGGTAAAAATAACAGATATATGGCACTTCAAAGTGTTTTTATGGTAATAAAGTGCACTGAGGGTGAACTTAGGTGGTTTCCCTACGTCTTGATAATAGTGGTAATAAAAATGACCAAAAAAGTTCACACAATGTGGTAACAAGAACACATGGTAAACAACACCCTTATAGTGCATGCATAAGATTATAGTTATAAATAGTCTTGTTGACAATGTGAATGCAGAGCCTAAAACAACAACTCATAGTGTACACTGTAAGTATATCTGATGGTAAAGATAATAACTGGTTGCACTCACGTATTATAGAGCCGTGCCAGGCTCTGTATACTTCGCTCAGGTGTGCCTGAAAAGGCTAAGGGTGCCACTGAGAGATGGCTGCTGGATCCAGTGAAGTATCAGGAACACCAGGATCAAATATAGAAAAATGTATTGGACAAAAAGATTTAAAACAATAATCCCATAAACAAGGTAAAGGTAATATCAAATTGAAGTCCTTGGACTTCAACATACCCAACAAACCCAAAAAGAGCCTGTGCAGAAGAAAGAAGGTGCTAAGTACTACCCATTCAGTGCAAATGAACCAAAATATACAACAACAAAAACTGACGTGAGTTTCGGGAAACAGGATCTTGAGATAGGCCTGAATGGGCTGAAATGTCGGTCAGACACTTATGTAACTTTTTTGAAGGTTAATTTTTGAAGTGCAACCCTTCATTAGCCTTTATATGTTTAACGCAGATTTTTGGCACCTGGGCAGTATCCATTTATATTTTTCATACAGGGTGAGTGCCAAGTGATTGTGAGAAGCATGGCAAGGGGCACATTGAGGAAACTGGCCTTGGGGAAGTAGAGAAGATATAGCCGTCCCTGCGTGGGTAGCTGACAATTTAAGATGATGTCAGATACTAGTTATTTACCTTTGAAATACTGCATGTTATGAAGCTATTTATAGATTTATTGTGGTAAAAAAAAGTAACTTGGGTTAGTTAGTCCATCAGAGCAAAACAACTAAAATGTATTTTGACATATTGAAAAAATAGATAAATTAAATGGAATTAGTGTAATGCAAATAATTTCCCCAAAGCTGTTCTAAACTGAGAATAATTTTAATTATTAATAGTTAATAATTATTATGTTATTATTTATATAGCGCCAACAAATTCCACAGCACCTTACAATGGGTGGACGAACAGATATCTAGTTGTAACCAGACAAGTTGGATACACAGGAACAGAGGAGTTGAGGGCCCAGCTCAATGAGCTTACATGTTAGAGGGAATGGGGTAAAATGACACAAAAGGTAAGGATAGTATTAGATGAATGACAGTTGCAAGAGAGGAATCAGTCTGGAGCTATTAACAGTTTAATTGATATGCTTTTATGAAGAAGTGGACTTTAATGATTTTTTGAAGGAGTAGAGACTTGGTGAGCATCTAACGGAGGAGGGAAGTGAGTTCCACAGGAACGGTGCAGCCCTAGAGAAGTCTTGAAGGCGAGCATCAGAGGTGGGAGTATGGACAGAAGATAGATGTAAGTCTTCAGCAGGGCGTAAGGACCTAGACAGGACATACTTGTGTATTAGTGAGGATAGATAGGTGGGATCAGCATTATGTAGATATTTGAAAGCAAGAACCAGAATTTTAAATTTAGCCCTATATCTTACAGGAAGCCAATGTAGGGACTGACAGAAGGGTGAGTGAGGCATGGGTGGTGCGGGCAGACAGGAAGCTGAGCCTCACCGCCGCATTCATTATGGACTGTAACGGCGCAAGTTGGGAGCACGTAAGACCACTGAGAAGTGGATTACAGTAGTCAAGGCGCGAAAGGACAATGGAATGGACCAGCACCTTAGTCACATCTGGCGCTAAGTAGGGTTAGATGCGCGCAGTGTTTTTCAGATGGAAAGACAGGATTTGGCGATAGACTGAACATGAGGCGTGAAGGAGAGGTCGAAGTCAAAGAGAACACCTAGGCAGCGAGCCTGTGTGGTGGAGCAGATGGTAGCATCATTGACTTGGAGGGAGACAGACACAGGAGTAGCAACACTTGAGGGAGGAAAGACTAGAATTTCAAGTTGAGTTTAAGGAAGTGAGCAGCCATCCAGTTAGAAATAGCAGAGAGGCAGTCAGAGACACTAGTCAAGAGGGACGGGGAGAGATCAGGAGAGGACAGGTAGATTTACGTATCATCCGCATAGAAATGATATTGAAAGCCAAAGGAGCTAATGAATTTACCAAGGAAGGTAGTATAGATAGAGAACAGTAGGGGACTAATGACTGAACCTTGGGGGACACCAACAGAGAGGAGTTGGGGAGAAGAAGCAGAGCCAGAGAAAGAAACATTGAAAGAGCGCTGGGAGAGGTAGGAGGAGCACCAGGAGAGAGCAATATATTGTAGACCGATATTGCGGAGGATGAGAAGAAGCTGTTGATGATCAACAGTGTCAAAAGCCAAAGACAGGTCAAGGAGAATTAAGATAGAGTAGTGACCACGAGATTTTGCAGCGAGTAGATCATTGGATACTTTGGCCAGTGAAGTTTCCACAGAGTGCCTAGCGCGGAAACCAGACTGAAGCAGGTCTAGCAGAGAGTTAGACTCAAGTCTGTCAAACTTGCATACACAACTCTTTCAAGGATCTTGGATGCAAAAGGCAGTAGCAAGATAGGATGGTAGTTGGAAGGGGAGTTAGGGTCAAGGTTGGGCTTCTTTAAAATTGGGGTTACAGTTGCATGTTTGAAGGGCGATGGAAATATGCCATAGGAGAGAGATTAAGAATTTTCGTGAGAGGTGGAGAAAGAGAAGAAGACAGAGTACGGATGAGATGCGAGGGAATTGGATCTAGGGAGCAGGTGGTGGGGCAGGAGGACTGGAGAAGAGCAGAAACCTCTTCCACTGTAGCGGGTGTGAATGAACATAGAACAGCAGAGGGAGTGAGGTAAGTGGAAGTATTGTAAGGGGAAGAAGAAAGATGAGAGATCTCTTCCCTGATTGTAGAGATCTTGTCAGTGAAGTGAGTTATAAAGTCTGAGGCGGTCAAGTTAGTAGGTGAAGGGATTAACAATAGGGCAAAAGATAGGATTAATTGTGTACAAAGCAATACTTGTTCACCCTTTCCTTTAAAAAATAATCTGTTTCACTGTTTTTTTTTAATCCAGTTCCTTCACTGCTACATGTCTCCAAATGTCAGAACCAAATACCTCCAAATACCGTAAAAAAATTCCCATTATTTCACAATTTTTCCATTATAATACAATATCACAAAGGAACTATATCTTTGGAAGCCGCTTGGAATGAAGCCATCTGTAGAAGGTCACTGGATTCTTCCTTTCCGTAGTCTGTTGACCAAAGGACCTGTTCTACGTTGATGCTTAGGGTGTTATGATATAATCAATATAGTGGTGCAAATTGAGTTACTCTTGGACATGTGTAAGGGCAATAATTTATTTTGGTTTTGTTTCATTAATTTTGAAATTCATTTCAGCAAAGTTTGTTAATTGTCAATTTGGAATGAACCAAAATTTGTCTGAAAATGTTTAGAAATGTGTATATCTATTATTCCCTTTAGGATGCTGTCTAGTAGATGTACCAAATGCAGGCAGTAAACATTTGTCAAGCCTATGCCTTTATACAGAGCATACCCTTGCCATTCAACATCAGGGTATCCTAAGTAGGGGAATCTGACATCAGTGCAACACATTAAAGAGCAATCTACTAAACAGCTCAAAGAGGAAAAATGTAAAAAATCTTACATTTACCGTATCAGTTGCTTAGTCGCTAAGTAATAATTAAGTCCCTTAACCCCGACAATCCCAAATAAGGATACCAAATCTATCTGCTAAACAGCGGAAAGATCAAAATTAGGTAAACAAGCCCCTTTCTTAACTTTGCTGTTACATTTCTGTAACAGGTAAGCCCCTAATTTGCTATTCTTCTGAAAACAACTGGACCCAAAATCTTTTCAGCTCAATTAGCTCAGAAAATGTTTGTTTTCAATAATTACGTATGTTGGCAAATTCAAAAACTTCAGAATTCAGAAATTCTGATAAAATTTGTTCGATTATGAAAGCGAATGTCTAATTACATTGTTTGCGTAGGCCTGATGACCAATACAGAATGCTAGGCCAGGAGTATTCCCTTGTCTTGAGCACCTCAGCAACAAACAAAAGACTCGCCTCTAAATACTCTTTTCTTCAACAATACTGATGCCTACCTGTTCAAAGTGAGTTTGTAGTTATATATTGGCACGTGAACACACATATGCTATCATTTGAAACTCACATTACACACAAACAAGCACGCATACAAATACCCAGTCACAGTTATTTACATTTCATGAGTATACGCAGTCGTAGACACAAATTAGACATACACAGGTAGTTAGATCACACATTCAGTTACACACAATACTCTTGCATGTAAAGTCACACTCACATTTCATACAGAAATTACATATACACATATGCATCAAAACACACAGGCATGACATACATTAGACACGTGAATAGGCAGGTAACATGCTAACTACTTTATTTATCAAATTTAAAAATGTACAAACATTAAGCATTTCACTAAACAGGGTATAAAGATATTCATTGCATGACACAACTTCTTAAAACAACGATTATAAGTTCATTAGCAGAACATGAAACATCGTATTCAGTTACATCTGAATGGACTTGTGGGGTACCTAAAAGAATGATGGATAACCATCAGGGAGATGGTTAGAATAACGAACAAAAGGGAGGAAAGGAAAAATGTAATGAGGTCAGATTAATAATGGGAGAGACTAGTGTGGATGACATCAACATGGAGAATTTAATTAACGTTCATAATGAACAGGAATGTTAATTTACAAGAAGCATAGCCTATTTCCTTCCATTTTCAGGTAGGTAATATTCAACAAGGCCTGCCATCACATTTTTTTAGCTTTTACACAAAATACATCTTCACTATCGAAAACCTCTCCATAGGATTTGCAGATTGTGAATATCTGAGACTCCTCAACAACACATCCGCAATCAGCCATTGCTTTCTTGATAACGTTTTCCTCCACTGAAAGAACAGAAAATATTTTATCTCCCACAATATACTTGGAGGCTCTGAGATATTCAGTCATTACAAGATATCCTCCAGGTTTTAACAAAGACACAGTATTCTTCAGATACGCTGTAAACTCTTCCAATGTTGAAGCAACACAAATGAGGCATGATGCAATGATCACACAGTCCGCTTGAGGCAATGAAAGTGGATGGAGAGGGTTGGCTTGGGTGACATCACATTTCAAAAAGGAGGCCTTTTCCCTAATCTTCTCTGCTTTCTCCTCAGGTGTGGACCTAAAATCAAGTGATAGAAAGTTCAGACTTGCTCTTGATTAACTCGTAAAATTACCTCCAGAATTGGTTTTAAAAATTGGAAATGTACAAATAATTCTCTCTTGTTGCTGAATTTCGCCGCATCACCCTTTCATCAACTCAATAAATTACAGCAGTGATAAAATTAGCAAAATGAAGAGGATATACATATTGGCTTTAAATATTGGACATTAATTTGCCGCAAATTACTTAAAATGTAGGGGATGGTGGTCGAATTATTAACATAACACATTTGACTGCATAATTCTAAGCTCACACTAATATTTATTGTTGTATTGTGTATTGTAGCATTATTTAGAGACCAGCATGATATTTTGAACAGTGTTAGATATACGGAATACATACCTCCCACCTTCCAGTTCACATGCTTGTTTTATGTATGAAGACCAATCAAAGGCATTTTTGTCCTCATTCAGCCACAGTTCAATTTCATTTAAGTTATTTTGGGAATAATCCGTCAGGTAGATGTTTTTGAAATTTTCACAGGCTGAGAGGATATGCCATATTGTAGGTCCTGCAGCAATTTCTATCAAATTATCCCCTTGTATACAACCTGTTAAGAAAAAAAGATCATCTTTTAATGATAAATATACTGAACATTTGAAAAATTAAACACAAACATCTATTAAACATCTATTCGTAAATAGGCAAATCTCATACTGCATGGTGGGTGGCAATATACCAAGTCCCTAACTTTAAGGGGGGGGGAGGAGGAGGCCTGTATGTGTTGTGTGCACAGTGTGAAGACATGTTTATGAATGAACATTTGAGTGCTTGTATTATCAGAGTAAGTGCAGGGGCTCATTCAAGTATCTAGTGATAGTATGCATGAATAAAAAAAAAAAATCGCTTGAATGTGCTAATGCAAGAATGTTTTTCTGAGTAATGCACTTCATAATCGGTGTCTAAATGTAGATGCATATTAGTGTATAATGTCTGGTTTGTGAATGCAATATTAGGATTTGTGTGCAATATTAGGATGAAAAAATACACTTGTGTGTATGCAGTAGTTTATATGAATGGATTTTCAGAACATGTGAATACAGTTTGAAGTTCCCATCCTGTTGAAGCTGTGGATTTTCAACTTTTTCAGGGCTGAGGTCCTTCATACCACGATCAGGGCAGGTGCAAGGATTTATGCCGCCCTAGGCAAAAAATTATTTGCCACCCCCCCATGTAGTGACATCACAATATCCTACCCATATGATCTGCCCATGTCATGACATATGCCCAATCCCTGAGGGACTGCTTCTACAGCAGTCTGACCATCTGGCCAGTATTAACGCTCTTGCTGGGTCTGCCTGGGCAGCTCATTTGCCCAGACTCCAGTAAAGCCACCATATGTGCAGCATATCTGCATGCACAGCTCATTTTATTAGGGTGTGCACCAGGAAATTCTTCCCATATGTTATTTTTTTATTGTTAGGTAATGTGAATATTTTTAAAAATGTTTAGTGGATGTGTGGTGTGGGTGTGTGGTGCGTAGGGTGGATAAAAATGTTGTAGCTATGTGTGAAGTGTATCTTGTTTCTTTCTGTGCGTGTTGTATAAGGCTGTGTAATGTGTGTAAAGCTGTGAGTGTCTGTGTGTGGGTAGCTGTGAGCGGTATGTGTCGCAGTGTGAGAAGCTGCAAGTTATACGTTTGGGCTGCTGTGAGTGTTATGTGTGGCAATGTGTGATGTGTGGGATATGTAGGAAGTAGTGGAATTTCCATTTAGTACAAGATGAGAAGAGAGATTCAAGTTAGCTCCCCCTCAGCCCAATATAGCTGGTGGTGGGGGAGTTTAGGTGCTGTAGTGAAGGTTTAAAGGCAGCAGTCAGGGTAAGGGGCAATAGTGGATGTTAGGTGGCAGAAGTGCATGTTAGGGGCAGTGGGGGGATAGAGGTTGTAGTGGGGAGTTAGCGGGTGTAGTAAGCGGCAATAAGGGTTTAGAAGCTGTAGTGGAGGGTTAAGGGCTGAAGTGAGGGGTTAGGGACTAAATTGGTATGTTAAGACCTACAGTGGGATGCCAGGGGCACTAGTAAGGGGTAGGGCAGTAGTAAGAGTTAAGGAGAAGTAGTAGGAGGTAAGAGAAGTAGTATGGGGTCAAGGATAGTGGTAGGGGGGTGGGGATAGTAGTAAGAGGTCAGGACCTGTCGTGGGAGGCTACGGTTAGTAATGGGGGTTAGGACCTGTGATGGGTGGATATGGGCAAAAGTAGCGTGATAGGACCTGTAGTGGGATGTTAGGGGCAATAGTGAGGGTTAGTGGCAGTAATAGACCATTAGGGCCATTAGTGTGGGGTTTGGGGCAGTAGTGGGTGGTTAGGGGCAATAGTAGTGGGTTAAGGGCAGACTTGCTATTTATAATCCCTCAGATGCTATTGAAGTGAACATATGAATGCAGGGGTGTATTCTTAAGGATGTCACTGTGTGTAAATGCATTACTGCACATGAACAATTAGTGTGTGGAGTGTCTGAAAGCTGGGTATGTTTGAAAGACAAAGAAACATGTGTGAATTCATGGGAATATTTTAAAGAGATACTCTACGCCTGTTTATCTGTTTTTTTTCTGCTGGTGTTTATACAGTTGTGCTCTTGTTTATAGTGTGTGTTATGGCTTGTCATGTTTTTACCTTTTTTACTATCATGTATTTCTCTGGTTTCTCCTAGTGTGAGAGGGATTTATTATCAGGTTCCTGTTGAGTTTGAAGTGTTACTTGTGTTGTCTTATTATAGTTACATCATCAAAGAAAGTTGTCAGAAAGGCCTTGCCCTTCATTACCTCTATTCTGTTTGATGATTGGATCATTTTATTATTCTTGTTATTTTACTGCTAATGGAAAATATGGTCAAGAGAGTATAGCAAAATATTTTCCTCCTGTCTTTATCAAAATTTAGATTATTTTAACAATCTACAACTGCAGGTTTAACACAATATGTGATTTTCAATGTTTTTTTTATCAGTGGTATAATTTCTAAGTAACTGACAGTTCTGCATTAAAGGGATTCTATAGTGTAAGGAATACAAAGTTGTATTCCAAGCACTATAGCTTATTCGGCCCACACCCCCTTTCCAAGCTCCCTCCCACCCCCACACAGTAAGGGTATTAAAACCCTTACTGTACTTAACCGATCCAGTGCCGATCTCCCTCGGTTCTGGGTCAGTGTTCTACCTCCTCTGACGTCACCTAAATGTAGGGCTAATGTGCATGTGCGGTGAGCTCTGCGAGTGCTTTAGGCCCTCCCCGTAGGAAAGCATTATTGTAATACTTTCCTGTTGGGATTTTACAGAATGCTGGATCCAGCATTAGTTAGGTGACCAAAAGTTTTTTTGATAGTCACAAGAGGCAGTCTCAGCCCTGCAATGTAAGTATTGGAGTTTCTCAGAAACTGCGCAAAGTAACCATGCAAGGTTAATGGGACAGGGGCATTGCACCCAGACCACTTCAATGAGATGAAGTGGTTTGGGTGCTGATAGTGTCCCTTCAAGAAAACTGTGGTTCTAGCGCTGCCAGCATTCAATGTTAAAATAAACCGTAGTGATGTATCTTTAGAAGATAATAGTAATCCTAAATATTAATTTGTGGTAAGGGATCATGATAGTACAAAAGAAACAAAACACTGATAATTGTAGGATGGTATTAAAAGAGCAAGTCGGTTGTGGTGTGCCGGAACCGACGATGAGGTAGGCCTGTAAATAAAGAGGGCCCACCAAGAAGAAATGTAAAGAGAAATGAGTTAATAATGAGGAGTGGTGGGAGGGTGATGCAGCGCTGACCTTGAACGGTATGGAGCCAGGTAAGGGGTGTCCCTTAAGTAGGGAACGTGTGTATCGTACGCCCCTCCCACAATTACAGGCCAAAAGGCCTTAATATTTGTGGTAAGGGCTCATGATAGTACAGAAGAAACAAAACACTGATAAGTGTAGGATGGTATTAAAGAGCAAGTCGGTTGTGTTGTGCCGGAACCGACGATGAGGTAGGCCTGTAAATAAAGAGGGCAAAAATAGAAAATCAAATTTATTACATACCAACAATATACATACATTTAACCAGACATGTTTTGAAAAGCATTTCTTACTTCTTGTACCGGGTTAGGTATGTATCTAGAGTAAGCTGATGATTTACAGCGCCCCAGTGACTTGATAACATGAACTGGGATGTTTGCACTGGATGCTGTGGAGGCCGCTTCTATGCGGAAGGAGTGGCCCGAATAGGTAGCTGATTTGAGGCCCAGTTGGGTAAGTAAGGACCTGACGTGGGTCATGAAGGTGGTGGTAGTGAGTACGGAACCTTGTAGACTGAAAAGTGGTTGATCTGGTGAAGCGTTGTTATGCTGGGTATATGAATCCAGTAGTTTGACGGGGCACCACCTGTTGTGGGTATGATAGTACTTAACCTCTACTGGAGGTGCATGTTGACTGGTTTTGGAATGAGGCAGGGTCAAGATATAAGAGTCCGAGTGTTTTGTTAAGTGTGAATGAAGTAAGATGTGAGTGGACTGTGTTGTGCTGAAGTTATTTATTCAATACAAGTAACGTACCTGCGGTAGAAAAGTGGATTGTAGATAAAAAGTAGCAGATAAGTTTTTCCTAAACACTGACAAAATTGTCACAATGTTCTTTGGAACTGTACTAAATTACATTAAAAAAAAAATCACGACTATGCATCAATACAAAATCAAATAGTACACTGACCACAGTCAATTCTTTAATTCTTTGACTACTGTAATCCGCTTCTCAGTGGTCTTACATGCTCCCAACTTGTGCCGTTACAGTCCATAATGAATGCGGCGGCGAGGCTCATCTTCCTGTCCGCCCGCACCTCCCATGCCTCACCCTTCTGTCAGTCCCTATATTGGCTTCCTATAAAATATAGAGCTCAATTTAAAATTCTGGTTCTTGCTTTCAAATCTCTACATAATGCTGCTCCCACCTATCTATCCTCCCTTATACACAAGTATGTCCCGTCTAGGCCCTTACGATCTGCTGAAGACTTACGTCTATCTTCTGTCCGTACTCCCACCTCTGATGCTCGCCTTCAAGATTTCTCGAGGGCTGCACCGTTCCTGTGGAACTCGCTTCCCTCCTCCGTTAGATGCTCACCCAGTCTCCACTCCTTCAAAAAATCTTAAAAACCCACTCATAAAAGCTTATCAATTAAACTGTTAATAGCTCCTGACTGATTCCTCTTCTGCAACTGTCACTAGTCTAATACTATCCTTACCTTTTTGTGTCATTTTACCCCACTCCCTCTAGCATGTAAGCTCATTGAGTAGGGCCCTCAACCCCTCTGTGCCTGTGTGTCCTACTTGTTTGGTTACAACTACATGTCTGTTCGTCCACCCATTGTAAAGCGCTGTGGAATTTGACAGCGCTCTATAAATATCATAATAATAATAATAATAAAATACCTAGGTATGTTGCTAGTCCCCAATCACAGTGAGAAATCTCAATGTATCCTTCCTGGTAAAATATTTTGTAAATAAATAAATAAAAAATACCTGAAGCGAATGCTTTTGATAGAAAAGAGAGGACAAATTTTATTTCTTTAGCTACTTCCTGGGTTTGAAGATGTGCACCATAAAAGGCCTCCAGGTATTTTCTGGAATCGAAGTAAGTTGCATATGAGGCACTTTCTCTTGACACCACCTCCATGATTTCTGTCGTAGCTAGAAATTCCTAAAAAAGAAATCCAGAAACTAAATATTTAGTATATTCTTATTTTCTCTAAAACAATATTTACAGTTAAGCGTGCAATGTCTTATAGAGTCTTTTTGTACTTAGCAAATATGCCTCAAGATCGTTTTAGAGTCTTAAATTGCTACTTTTGTTATATTTTTCTTCAGTGTCTAAATGTCCTCTTTGATATCACTGGGCCATTACTGTGACTAGCAAGGAACCCCTCTTAACTAATTACAGAATTACTCATTCATTTCAAACAATTCAAAATCTTTCTTAAATGTTACTGTGAATTTTTATCTGATGGAGTCATCCAGTTGAGCTGAATATTCCTGACGTGCACAAGTCTACATTCTTGTACAAAACATAGGTTTATACAGCTAAACAATCTCTTACCTGATTGTACCTGATTGTACAACCAGATTAATGAGCTCATGTCCTATCAATAGGAAGTGATCTCTATATTAACACAGTAGGTGGATCCTTTTGTGCCTAAAGGCATGTATAAACCCCCCCAAAAACACGTTTGTTCAGTGATATTAATCTTGAGAAGTATATGCCTAATCCTTTTTCCTGAATTCCTGGTGTTTTGCGATGGTTATTCTTCATACAGCACTTGCTGCCTTAAACAAATAAAGTAATTAGCATTTTGCTAAATTCATTGATTCCCAGGGTGTAACCGTTACCGTGCTAACATTTTAATAAACTAACATTAACTTGGTTAATTAGTGGGAACGGAAGACCCAACAATATGTCTGAATTCTATGCGATTTGTTTTTAGGTAACCCCTACAGTTTCTTAACCCCTTTATATAACGAGATAGAGGACAATGGGACTTCTGATAATTAGAAGGTTTTGTGCAACTCTTGCCGTTGGTTTTCTTTTATTTTTAAACTTTCTGTTGACTTGATAATAACAAGAATCAAATTCTCTGTGCCAGTGAATTGACAAAAAAAAAAAAATGACAACCGTTCGGATGTAATTAATTGATTTTCTATACACCTGAACTCCTTTGATTAATATGGCTATTTGTGTGAGGACAATTGTTACACCAGGAAAGGGATTTAGGGGTGATTATTTCTGATGACTTAAAGGTAGGCAGACAATGTAATAGAGCAGTAAAAAGGGTTAAACCTAGCTGGACCTGGCACCCAGACCACTTCATTAAGCTGAAGTGGTCTGGGTGCCTATAGTGGTCCTTTAAACCCTTAAGGACATGTGTGACATGTCATGATTCCCTTTTATTCCAGAGGTTTGGTCCCTAAGGGGTTAAGGAGCTGGGTCATATAAGTATGCAGACATCTTAGGAAAAATCACTTTTAACTTGCCTACCTGGCTGAGTTTTTTCCACCCTCCCTTCCTGGGTTTTTGGCGGTAGTAGGCTTCCCGTTTTGTCACAGCAACGGGATAGGGAGCTCTAGGAGAGGAAATAGACTCCCGAGTTGGAAGGTTATGTTAATAGTTATTGGTATGTTGGTAGGTTTCGAGTCCTGGAGGAGGCTCAGAACCTGGTGGGGTAGGGGTATCCGGGTATACCCCTACCATGGTTAAATTATAATAATGGTTGGCACTTTAAGTGATGTTATGTTGGTTCAATGTTATATATAGATATATGTTATTTATTAAGGGGGTCATTGCCTGTTATACCTAACGGAAGGATACGGAAATAAGGGAGGGGCAAAAAGTTTATATGTTAAGTTATTATTGTTTATATATCTAATAAAGCTGTGGCCAATTTTACCCATATACCCTGGTGTCCGTGTTTTATTGGGGTTAGGTATGTGGGGGTTTGTCCAAGGTTCCGAATGCCTTATGGTGACGATACACCGGTCAAGCAAATAATAAAACAAGCAATGCTGCATAAGTGATATGGTACCGGTATTATAGACATTTAGCTGAGCTAGACAGGCTGAAAAATAACTGGGGTATAGGACACCATATTAAAGAAGGATAAAACATGAATAAGTGGTAAGTGAGATAGCATGTGCCATGGGTAAGTATGGGGTAAAATAGTGGAAGTCTCTGCAATGCTGATGGAGCCATTGCAAAGGGTGTTGTAGGACTTGGCTACCCCACATGCAGGCCATTGCCCACAGGCAGACTGTATACCAAGTCGAGACTGAAAGTTCAGTCTCATGCTGGGGTCCACTGCTCCACCAGATGGCACACAAGGATGCCACCATGGTTTCTGCTGCTCATTGTACAGTAGAACATTGTGCTCCAGCTACAAGCCACCTAGTTGAGATCGCTGGTTTAGATCGCTAGTTCATACGGTGCCAAAATGCTTGGCAAAGTACCTCAAGACGGGAGTCGAAAGTCTCCATCCAACCTCTGGACCCCAGGTCCTCCTGGCTCTGTTGAGACATTAGCCCGGTGGCCATTTTAGGAGCTCCACGTGGGGTGTGCATTTATCACTCAGTGTCTTGGAGCTACACAAACCCGGTTGGGGGATCGGCCGCCTCCCCCAGCTAGTAGGCCGCAGGTCTCAAGGTTTAGTGGAAGTTGCTTTGTGTAGCTGGGTCTAGCAGTGTCCACCCTATAGAGGGTACATTCAGCCATCTATAGGGGCCTCGCCCCCTACCTAAGCTTTTTTTTTATACTGTTGTGTAATTATTCTGTGTACATTTTTGATAAATTATATATGTACTCTTCATCTGTGCAGTACCTATTTTGTTGGCAAAAGTGCACCACTCAATTTTTGCAGTTTGAGAATAAATACACACATTTTCTATAAGCATTAATTAATGAGAGGCTGTACTGGTTTTTTTTTTAAAACTTTTTTTATATATGTTTTAGGGGTACTTCTGGAGTGTGTGCCCCAACAACAGCACCTTAGTTTATAGAGTGCCAGTACCAGTATAATTCTTTGCAAGATTAAATAGGGCCCTGGAAAAAGGCACTTATGACAGGGAGGGGTGCAAAACCAGGGAGTTGGCCTGGACTCTCAAATATATATATATATATATATATATAAAACCAAGAGGGCTGCACTCAGCTGAACATGAACACATAGGGTGCTGCTGGAGCCAATTTATAGAACATACAAGATCCAGCGCACTCATTCAGTAACCAGCAATTGCAAGTCACTTGTCAGAATGTAATAGGTTAATTTAAAAACACCTCACCGAGGCAAAGAATAATGGGGTTTTAATTACATTATCTGATCATACATTGCATATAGTGGATGAGTGAGTTCGCTGGATTTTGTATTTTATACACACACTGTATAATAACCCTCAGATCACCCACACACCCCTTCAAACAAAAAGCACCCCAATGAATTTTACATTCATGTATAAATTCTAATTTATTATCAACGTTTCCGTTAGACTAAGCTAACCTTCTTCACTACAAGTTCAATACATTTAAGCACAGATATATATGTATATATATATATAGGGAAACATAGAGAATTACTCACCAATTAATGCCAAACAGCAAATCCAGCAAACTGCCTGATTGAAAGTGAGATTGCCCTCAACTCGGTAATTGCCTCCAGTCGCTTAGGATTCCTTACCATGGAAACTCCAAAAATCTAAATTTATAACAAAACATGTTTTAAGGTGATATATCCCTTGTGTGATGCATATCCGCCGCCAAACAGTAATATTACTGTCACAACTTATATACACTGTATGAGAATCATAATATTTAAAATATCTGATTCTCATCTGAAAGCCACTCCTTATCTGGGATACTGTGTACAAATTGAATATGTATGCTTCAATTTACTGAACTTCTCAAATTAGAAAGATATAATGGAAGAAGTCATATATTTAAAAAACAAACAAACAAACAAACAGGGAAAAGATCAAAAGAACACGCAACATTGTCAAATATCCAACACAGTAATCATAAATGCAATTAAATTCTGCAAACTTTTTATCACTTGGATTCTGTTACTAAGTAAAAACATTTTGCATTGTAAGTCACTCTGTTTCTGCAAATAAAAAGGGTCAAAATTTTTTTTTCATTTAAGTCTCTTGGGTAGGGAGACCAGATCCACCATGTTTTCTGGAAATGTACCCTCTATACATATCACAACAACAACAAGTACCATTCCCACTATCTCCACTCACCTCTTTTAAACCCAGGGGAAGTAATGTCGATGGGTTTAACACCATACACCTTTTCAGAGTAATATTTGATGGCATAAGCAAGGCACATTGCTTTCTGAGATGCCTTGCAGTATGTATGTGTTTTGGTTGAACTAGTGACAGTATGCTGTTGATGTCATGCGGTGTGTGTGTATGGTCACTGGTTTATCTAAGACAATATCAGTGGCTTTGTCCAGGAGAGCAGTAACAGCCCCACTGCCCTAACACATGAGGGGGCACCCCTGGCAACAGGGTCCAATCTGGTGGAGTAGTACGCTGTTGGTCTTTGTTTACCATCATGGTCCTGTGTAAGGACAGATGTAGCATTTTCTGCTGCATGGGTTAATTTAAAGGGCTTGTTTTTGTTGGCGAGACAATCATAGAGGGGCTGCATGTAGATTGCTGGAGAAGCCAAGGTCGGCAGTATGAATTGTAGCTGGGCTAGGCTGCGGGGGGGAGGTGGGGGGTGTAATATTTTGAATTGCAGTCTGCCTCTGCCAAGAATTTCAGTAAGGAAGGCGTGTTTACAATACAAGTCTCCATATTATCACAAAATAGGATTAGGTCCTCCATATACTGCAATAAAATTACATTATTTGTCCTTTTCCACTCTTCAAGAATCTGTGCCATAGCCATGCTGTACATAGTGGGTGAGTTTTGTGCGCCCTGTGACAATACTGTCCAAGTGTACTGCTTGTGTTTATGTGTAAATGCAAATAAAAACTGACTGACGGGATCCAGGGGGACACTGAAAAATGCATTTGCCAAGTCAATAACAGTAAATACCTTAGAGGAAGGTGGTATATGTGCCAACAAGGTGTGTGGGTTGGGAACATTAGGGGCAATGAGTTCAGTTACGGCATTAATTGCCCTCAATCATGTACCATCCGGTAGACCCTTTCTCATGCTTTTTCTTAATTGGGTACAATGGTGTGTTACAAGGGGAGGTGGTCTGGACAATTACCCCTGCCTGCAGAAACTCTTGCACAGATTGGGAAATAGCATCTTCCTGTGCTGGGCTTAGGGGGTATTGTTTTTGATAGGGAGGTTTGTCTCCGGGCAGGAGATTCACTTTGACTGCAGGCACAGAGAGTCTGCCTGTATCTGTCTTCCCTGTAGCCCATAAGGAATCAGGGATTGGGGACAAATCAATGGTAGGTTCTGGCACATGGCTGGGCATAGTGAGAGTTGCCAGAACATTTGAAAGAGATATCATTTGTTTGTCTTCCAAAGGCACAGACAATGTTACTTTTCCAGTGGGGCAATACTGGATATTTGCACTAAGAGCAGACAGAGTTTCACTGCCTAGTAGATTAGCAGGGGCATCAATATATTTAAAAATTATTCTAGCCCAAATGGGGCCAGCTTTTAGGGCAACAATCTGTTTTAAATATAACCAAGTACACTGGTAAGTAGCTTGAATGGTGGATAGACACTGGACTAGAGCTAAGGGGGTCTTTTCAACATCTGGCAGCTTCTGTATTATTGCCAGTTGTTCACTGGGTGTCCAGGGCTTATATTATTCCCAGTATTGGATACCTGAGCTCGGCTGTCTCTTCTCATGGTATACACTCTCAACTTTGGGTATCATGGGAGTAGTGAATTGTGCAGCTAATGGCCCCACTGGGGTGTCTATGGGGGCAACTAGGGGTTCCCTTAAATCTGGTGGATTACCCTCCTTCTTGCCCATTCTGGGACACTAGAGGTCCAAAACATTGATAATATGGTACACCTTTTCTGGTGGCTTCTCTACAACCACATTTAGTTAATTCAACAGCAGTATCATGCCATTTTTGGGCAACTTCTACTAAGTCATTATCTTCTAACCAGCCTCTGTAATTTGCCATAAATTCAATCCATATATGTGGGTATAGAGTGCCCTCTGAGGGCATGCCAGCTTTCTTAAGTAACCTCTTAACATTCTTAATTGCTCCTTGTCCTTTGTGATGCTTGACAATAGTCAAAGTCATAAATCCCCCTCGGGTGCTTTCAGAGCTACCCATCTTAAAACTTGTAAGGGTTAATTACTTCCTTACACAAGACAAACTGTACAAAAACAGTGTATAAGACACTTATGACCATTGCAGTGGAATTTTCACAGTTTTGTCTTCTAAACACAGATCAGGAGATCTGCCCTTGGAGGATTCTAACTCAAATTATAAAACAATTGACAAGGCAAACAATAAAAATAACTTAAAACCCACAGATATATTCCACTATCTCAAGATTCCTTTCACAACATTCACCTGAATATAACCATAAAACCACAGAAAACAAGTTCTTTAGATCAGACGTTTTTAAAATCCTTACCCACCTGGACAGGGGTCTCAAAGAGCACCAGAGAGTCAAAATCATTTATAGGTAGAAAAATAAAAGATTTTTCTTACCCGCTGCAGCTGATGGGTCCGGATGAATTGGATTCGTCTGATCCCGGGTTTCGGCACCAAATTGTTGTGAATCCAAATAATGATCCAAAATTATTATTACAAGTGCGCTTGGAGAAGCGAGAATTAGACACCAGACACCTGTTGGTATTCAAAATGAGCCTCTGACGTTTTATTCATCAGCGGGGTTTTATACATTACAAAGTAAGTGCTTACGTGCAAATACTCTTAGAACAGTAATAGGAAGGGAGTACAGATAAGGGATGAATGTCATGTACACATAACAAATAAGTTCCAAGGTAAGAAAGATAAAAAAGATTAGAGAAGAGACATCTTAAGTGGGGGCTCTCTGCTCCCGGAACTAGACATATATGGTCTTAAGTGTCGTGTTAAGCAGCAAGCATTTCCTGAGTCCAAGTTAGCCAATTTTAATATAGGATATCATTATATGACACCTATAAGCTTGAGCCTTGGAATCAAGATAAATTCTATCACAATATTGAGCGCTGGCCCATCCATTGGTCCCAGTGGGGCCATGGCTCCAGGCGGCACTTTGACAGGAGTGGCATTTTATCTTTAAGAAATCAGCCAGGGCCGCCTATATGCACATATGGAAGGTCATATGGGCAATCCCAGTGAGCGTTCAATGCTGCTCATGAGTGAGACATAGAGAGCAGGGAGGCAGGAGTCTGGAGTAAATACAGGTTGGGAGGGAGGTAGTGCCGTTCCCTGTCTCACAGCCTTTACACACAGGAAACATAACCTGGCAATCAGGCACAGCCAGGCTGCCCATACCGGTATTTTAAAGTTGTGATTCATGTGTGTGAAAGGCTGTGCAGCAGG